AACCTAGTCCATGCTACCTAAGCTCACACTCAGTCACATCCACTGCTGGGGAGAAGAAAAGGACCAGGTGAGCTGACCACTTAGCTAGTGTCATCTGTGGAGAGTCATGTTTCCTCGGATCGCATTTGTTAAGCTGCACTTGTGTCTTCTATCTTAGGAAAGGTAGTATTGTAGTATCTCCATTGGGATGGATGTGTTCCCAGACAGTACTTAGACTTCTTAGCCAGGGCCCCTAAATCAGACATGAATAGTTACTCCCAGATATCCACCCAGCACTGACACCTGCACACACAAAGCTCACACTCTGCCCTCCACAGTCTCACACACAGATGCGTGTTTTCTCCCATCCTCTCATAACACACCTGTGGCTGCCTATTGGTAAAGGTGATCTTGTACCATAAAGACCCCAATTCAGAAGAACATTAAATCCTGTGGAGGTGCTGGCAGGAGGGGAGTTCTTAAACAACCAATAACTTAACTTTCCCTTTGTCCCTTGGGCAAAGATAGAGTACAAAGAAGTGGGGCCCACCTGTCCTGCTGTTTCTGTGACAGGGCCCATAAAGATGGCTCCGCTTCATCTTGCCTCAAGGTCAGAGAGTTCAACACTGTCCTTAGTAAGTCAAAAGACCTAAAGGTCTAAGGCTGCAGGATGTTTTGGTCTTGGTAGAGTATGTCTTATCTAAATAACAACAGACTTGGGCTCAGGTGTGTTTATTCTTGACCCTCAAGGCGGGAAACAAGTGTGGTTACCAAAGGCTTGGAGGTTTAAGGGAAGAAAGTCTGTTTGCTCCTTATACATGGTAATAGAAGTCTTCTGCTATGTCCCACTCTGGGTTGGATACTTAAGAATGTTGAAGAATAAACTTGGGGGTGTTTGGTATTCACCCTCCTGACTCTATCCTGTGTCTCTGTCTTCTTCTTAGTGTTTTTATCTGCTGTTTCTCAATCCACACTCCCCTCTCAGTTACAAACTGGGCAAGTCGGATGAGTCCGACTGTAGCCCCACAAAGACAGGTTCCCACATTTTTGCCCAATGTAGCTTTCCTTCCTACAATAGTCCAGTCAGGGACAGAGAGGGGACCAGCCTGGAAATGTGTTGCGACACAACATGAGACAGTACAGATCTCCAAATAAAGAGGGAAAGTGTGAGTTTACTTTGCTGAGATCTCCAATCCCCAGACAAGAAAAGATACGCATCAGCAGCATTGTAGAAAACGGCTCTGCGAAAGCCATCTTTGAGATGACTCAATTCCTACCACCTGCAATTCTTGTACTTGTGACTATTTTGAAATAAAGTTGGAGAAAAAGAAAATCCTTCACCCTCCCAGTGTCCTGAAATGGAACGGGTGGTGCAGTGTTTTGCAAGGCACGTTGCACGGCTCTTAACACAATTCCAAGGAGTATCTTGGGCACCAGCAGGGCTGGGAGCCAACATGAAGTATTTCTGCCTCAAATTACATCTGCAGGGGCCCTAGATGTCTCATTTTCTGATTCCATTTTTCACAAAACAAGTCAACATCTGCCTTTTGTTATTTCTAAACCTCATTGTTTTTTAAACATTCCCAGTACACTTGGAGCTAAATACACTTCACAAAAAGAATGCCTCACAAGACCTGGACATAGCCATAAGGTTCCTGAAAGCTGACACCTCCGCCCCCTGCCACTGCCCCCAGGGTGGCATAAGCACCTACAGGGCATGGTGTTTCCTGAGGCCACATGTGGGTTTTGCCCAAAAGTGAGATTTCACAATCTTGGGAATAATGAAAGATTGAAACAGGCAGTATGTAGAGCTAGAGAGTTTTAGAGGGTTTTGTGGGGACAAAGGCAAGAATCTGGTTTCTATCCTGTCCACACTCTGCCAACTATTAAGGTGTTTTGAGATGGAGTTAAAATGGACAGATAAAACTGCAATCTATCCAAGGTGGTCTGGAATAAGTTCTCCTGCATTCTGATGCTGTCGGGAGGGTAGGAGGGAAGGGGGGCATATTGTTCTTTGTGGTTAAAGGAAATCAGAAATCCCTTTAGGCTACAGATCTTCAAGAGCTTGGTCAGGACTCCCAGTGGTCCGTGCATGAAGGGCCTGTGGGTCACATTTTAATCAGCCTGTGATTCAATCAAATTAATTCGAATTCCTTTGCAGCAAGTAGTTTCTAATTGCTCTGGTGGTCACAGGGAAATAGAGGTGCAACTGGCACAAGCCACAGTGAACAACACAAAGTTTCTTCTTAAGCCTTCTCGATGCTTCATAAATCCGACCTAATTTGGATCCTCTGGGATGAAGGGTAGAGCTTGCACTATTAGATGAAAAGCCAAATTTGAAGAGCTGCAATGCTTACAGGCTTTCTCACCTGGTAATGAGCAGAACATTATAAGATATAGAAGTCACAAATGAAGCTCACGGAAAGAATGGCCGGAATACTGAGTAAAGTCCGGTCAGTGAGCACAGTGGCCATTCATGCCCACCTGGAGCTCTCTCCATGGGAAACCAGCAGGTCCATAGATACAGTCTTTAAACTATTTTGTTTTATGAACTATAACTTCATCATGATGTGTCCCCTATTCTATGACTCTTTATTTTCTCTTCATCAAATTTCAGAACTGTTTTCTTCTCTCTCTCTCTCTCTCTCTCTCTCTCTCTCTCTCTCTCTCTCTTCCCCTCTCCCTATTTTCTCCCTCTCCCTGTCCTTCATCCCTGTTCCTTAAATATGTCAGGCGGGGCCCTCTTACTCCAGGGCCTTTGAACTTGTATTTTCTTTCCCAAAATGATCTTCAGTTGATAACCTCTAAGTTGGCTCCCCCATCTCCCTTGGTCTGAATTCAATGTTTCTGTTTTAATCATAACTCTCCTAGACTCCTTTCAACTGGTAGCCCCTTCCCCCACCTTCCATGAGTCTTCAGAACTGCACTCTCGGATTTATTTATTTATTTATTTATTTTTCTTGATTTCCACAGTGACTGACTCTCTGATATACCACACACTTGACGTTTTAGATGTCCCCTTCCGGCTAGAATGTAAGCTCCATAAAATGAAGCTCATGATCTCATCTAGAGCGCGGTACCTAGCATAAGGTAAATACTCAATAAAATTTTTTTTCAGGATAAATGACTAAAGTGATCATAAAGACACTGAAGGCAGAATGATGAGTACAGGTTTTGAAAAAGAGTTGAAAACATGACATGATTAGATTAGGCAGTGTAGGACTTTGCAATACAGTGAATTTCTATCTTCCCATCTCACCATCTTTAATTGGGGCCTCGTCTGTAAGCTCACCTCATGATTGTAAAGTGGCTGCCGTACCACCAGAGCGCATTATATTTCCAAAGAAGGGAGAAAATAAATTGGAAAATAGGAAATGGCAGCAAATTGTTTCCAGAAACTCCATTTATACATCGTTAAACTAGAACTTAGTCATGTAGCCACCTTGAATTGCAACACCAAACACCTCTAAGACAGACAGAGGGTAATAGAATGCACCTGGCATGGAGGTAGACGAGATGCCAGTTTAAGGGTAGGAAATCAGTCCTAGGGAGACAAAGATGATGCGGTTGGGAGTAAGTTAAAACAGCATAGTGACTCACATGTGGAAAGTGCTGCAAAGAGACCTGATGCTTTACACGCTAACTTTAAAGTTAACAAAACAACCCTCCCCCCAAGAAAAGGCTTTGTCGATGAGGAAGAATGGGAGAAGGATAGGTGTTGGCTGTTCAGCCTGCAGTGGGGAGATGGAGCTGTCCTGGGAGAAGTCTTCAGTCTGAGACAGAAAAGGCTCCACTCAGAGCTTTGAGAGTCATGTTCCCAGCTTAGGGAAGTAGCCAAGCTGAAAGGATGATGGAAATATCTAGAAAGAGTCCCATGAATTAAGGGAGATCCTCCCAGAAGCCTTCAAGGTCCTTGCTTCCAGCTGTCAGGAAGGCCTCACTGCCAGATGTTGTAGCCTGGTGACAGGGAGACTTTTATTGTGTGCCTTAACACCCATGAGAGACAGTTAAGTTTCACTGGGCTCCTTGCCTTCTCTAGACCAGTGTTTCTTAGCAAGCGTGAGTGAGCAGGGTGACGCCGCAGCAACCTTTGCACTCCCACAGCAACTTATTGGAGCAGAGGACATCTCTGGAGCAGACCCTCACCTTCCTGGATCAGGGGTGTTTCCAAATGCCTCCCCACCGTGGTTCTGACACTCAGCCCTCTGATTGGGGGTCCTTTTGGCTTGACACCTCAGGCAGAAGTTTCAATGTAGAGGAACAAGGTAGCAACAATGAACAGTCAAAGGGAGTTGCTGCCGCTATAGCCATGTGCAGTCCCTATGTGACAAACTGTGCTGAAACAGATGCTGGACTGACGGACTGTGTGAGCTGCTTCTGAACTGTGGTGGGAGACTGAGAGCAGGGAAAGGAAGAAGGCTATCTTGTCAGTGTCAGGCAGTGGGCATAGCTCATGCTGTAACTGTTCCTCTCCTTACACTTCTGTTGACTATCTAGTCCAAACTTAAAGACAAATATCCTGTTTTGCTACTAGCCATCACTTCCAGCCAGAGGCAGCATAGGAAGGACAGGCCACCAGGGAATGGGCCTCATACAGAGGCAGAATGTTACAACCCAAAGTGCCCTATCCACCCGTGTCTACCAGAGAATGGGCTAGGAAAACACACCTGCACCCATTACTCAGTGCCCCCTTCTTACTGACTGCCCAGGAAACTGGAAACAAGGTTCCAAGAATGAGGTTGACCTCTGTCAGAAGGAGAGGTTAATGCATGTAGGGTTATGACAAAAAAGCAGCCACCTTCCTCAAAGTGTCCCTGTGGTGCTAAGGATAGAGGATAGGGCCCCAGTCTCCATTTCCTCAGAGACCACTGGCCAGGCAGCTTGGGTTGCTCAGGAAGGTTTCCTTGTCTTTGCCACCATGAGATGATAATATCAGACTAGAAAAGTCTAATGGTGTGTGTGTGTGTGTGTGTGAGAGAGAGAGAGAGAGAGAGAGAGAGAGAGAGAGAGAGAGAGAAGGCTTGGGAAACACTTTTATACCCAACGTTTGGTAGAGGCCAGGGGATTTACTAGAGAGCAAAGACTTGGGGTGTTGATAAAGGATCTCAAGTTTTGAAAGGGAAAATTGGGTCCAGGAAGCATGAAGGGCACCCCAGAAATTCCAGGTTTTCTTTCTTCTTTTGTGTGGCAACAGCTGTAACAGGAACATGGGGCTGCCTGACTGGCCTGGTGGCCCTTCCACAGTGTGAAGGTAAGTGAGACAAAGGCTCCAAGATCTCTTCTAGTTCTGGGCCTCCTTGGCCTGGCCTGCATGCTGCAGTGACTCTACCATTATGGGTAACTGTGGCTGGAGGCTTCTCTGTATCAAGTCTTCTGGAAGGAACAGACAGACACTTCTCATCAGAGTATGGAGGCCCAGAGAAACTTCCTCCTGTCATAGTTGTAGGAAGAGATGCTGGTTAGGTCTTAACTTGCGGCTCTTTCAGCTCTTTCAGTCAGCACTTACAGGCCCTGCAGAGCTTCAGCAGGGCCTATGTGGCTACTCTGCAGGCTGGCTTTAAGACAAGCTCCCCAGCTCTTACCAGATGGGAAAGGTCCTTCTGTACAGTGTGAATATATGTTTCTCTTATTGGATGATGAATAAAGCTGTTTCAGACAATGGATAGGCAGGATGTAGCCAGGCAGGAAGTACAGGCAGGGCTACCAGATGAGGAGAATTATGGGAAGAGGAACAGAGGTGAGTCTCTAGGGAGATGCCATGTAGCTACCCGAGCATTCTTTGGTAAGCCAAGACCACGTGGAGATACATAGATTAATAGAAATCGGTTAATAATTAAGAGAGAGCTAGCCAATAAGAAGCCTGAGCCATCAGGCAAACAGATTATAAATAATATAAGCCTCAGTGTGTTTATTTGTGACTAAACAGCTATGGGACCAGGCAGGACAGAAACTTCCGTCCACATCCCAGGGCCTCTGCAGATACAGGGGGCTCTTGGGGTGCTTCCAGGTGATTCTGGTAACCAGGCCTTAGAACAGTTTCTTAAGATTTACTTCAACCAGATTCCCAAGGAGTCACTTGGAAGAATTTTTTGAACTTTGTCTCCCAAGCTCCTAGGAGAGCCTTTCCACCAGGCATGTATGTCTTCTGTAAGCATGGATAAGATCTTCTTGATGTTGCTTATGTATTCTCCACTTGGGATTTGGATCTGATCTGTGCATACTGTGTATACATGTCTTCTCCTTCCTTCCAGCCTCCATCAGCCTCTAGTTCCTACAGAAGTGCTTTCTTGAGACTTCTTACATCTAGCTCAGATCTAAACACCACCCATGTGGAAGGAAAGTGGGGAGGGAAAGGAGTTGGGCAACAGAAGGAGATGGAATGGAGAGGGATGGAGAAGGAATTGTTGGAGGGCAGCAGAAAGAGGAGGGGAAAAGGAGAGGAAGGAAAAGAAAGGGAGAAAAATGGATGAGGGAGCACAGAAAACAGAGCAGGAGGAAATGGGGAGGAGAGAAGGAGTAGGGTGGTGGAGGGAGTGGGGAGGATAGAGGGGGAGGAGGGAGAAGGGGGGAGGGAGTGGGAAGAAGAGATGAGGGAGGAGGGTGGAGGAGAGACTGGGGAGGATGGAG